ATGGAAATCCCTCATTTAAACATTGTAGCCTCCAGTGTTCTGATCAAGATTTCATTTTGTTGTTGTTGTTGTTGAGTAAATGTTTCTCAGTTTGTTGTAAGCCCTTTAATCAATGTCTAGAGCCTTTGACTGATGTCTTTGCTAATTGTGAGTGGCTTAATAATAGATGTCTTTCTAGGGGAAAGACTTCCCCAAGCTCTTCATACCACCATTTTTGTACTTCTTCAAAGAGATATTGGACCTTCACATTCTAGCTTGTCTGTCATCTCTTTCATATTTTCAATGTCTGAATATTTCTATGTTATATTCTGATAAATTTCCTTAGAAATATTTTCCAGTCGACTTATTCTCTTTTCATCTTTGTCTAATTTAAATTTTAACCTATCAATCGAGTTTTAAAATTTATTTTATTTTACTTTTGTAGAAAAGAAAGTCTCTTTTATTATTAATTTTTTTTGACTTGGCTTTAATAAATGCAATTCTAACAGAGATGATGATACTATATTTGGCTTTTTAAGAAAGGGATATTTCAGTCATTAAAGCAATTTGATATGTAAAAAGTGATTGAATACATAAAAGTAAAGGGAATAATGAGGCAGAAATGCATATTTTATATCTTAACAGAAATGAATAAATGTGACATTCGATTTGAAAACTATCAAAATTACATCAATGCTCAGACAAAAAATTACTGAGTCTACTTAATTTTATAAAAATGAATGTATCATTTAATGAAAAAAGTAAAACAGTTAAATTTACTGACTCCTAGAACTCTGTGAAAAGATTTTTGTGAAGCTCTGTGGAACAATTATTAATAAAATTAAGCTGACAAAACAAATACAACAACTAAACAATTTCTGTGACTTAATAGGAGAAGTATAAAATATCTAAAAATGTCCAGTAGAATTACAAGAGCTATAACTTTGTTTTTAATTAAAATTTCATTAGTTCAGTAGGAGATGAGTGAAAATTTAGTACCCTGAATAATATTCTTGATATCAAAAGAAAATTTTGACTTCTTGAAGTCACAAAAGACCTAGGGATGAAATTTTACATTTAAAATTTGCACTTTAAATTATACTCTTCACTTTTAGAAGTTCTATTTGACATTTTTAAAAACACTGCCTGTTCTTTTTGCATAGTGGCTACCTTTTTTTAAAGGGATTTGGTACCTTATTTTGTCTTATAAGCTCTTTAAACATAGTTATTTAATATTCTTGGCTCTAATTTTCTGTTTCTTATGTCTTCTCCTCCTTGCTAATTGTGAGTTATTTCCTTGGATGTTTTGTTAATTTATCAGCATGAAGGTTCTTGAATCATATGAGTAGCATAGATTCAACTCTCAAAGCTTAATGATAAATAATGAGTTTAACAATCTCAAAGGAGATTTTTGCTACTTTTTTTTTTTTTACAATTTTACTATTTCAATATTAACTATTATTTTAAAATCAGAGTCTACAAGAGCCCTCAAGAGATAGTTTAGCTTTTTAAAGTCTTCCTTTAACAATAAGCATACTTTATTTTACTAGTTTACCTTTTTACTAAGGGTGTAGTGTTTAGAGAGACTTGCATCATTCAGTGGTCTTAGCCCAAATTCTCTCATAAAGACTAAAAGCCTTATCCCATTTCTCTAGTCTAATTTATCCTTTTTCAATTTAGACACTTTCACAAGCTGTTTGTTTGGGCAAATCACTTCTTCTTTTGGGTCAAAGCTATCCCAGTTTTAAAATCAAAGAGTTGAGTGAAATGACCAGTTAGGTCCTTGGTAGGTAGCTGCAGCATGCTAGGCTTGTAGGTTTTATGTGACTTAGATAGTATTTTCAGAAAAGAAATTTAATTTTCCTTATGTATATGGGAAGTATAGTTTATAGATGCGGGTCAATACGAGGTGGTTCTAGCAGCTGATTTGGACCATCAGCTAGCAGTCAATGACAGAATGTTTCTCCAAGGGTTGCTCCTCCTTGTCTTTTCCTTCACCTGAAGCTCATGCCAGTCAATTCATGAGCTAAAGGTAGCTTGATTTCCCTTCATCCCTTCTTAGTAGCTCACCTTTGGAATGGGCAAAGTCAGCAGTTATCATAAGGGCATGAATGCCAATCACAACAAAGGCTTTATTTGTAGGACAGCAGGCTCAAGTGCAGATCCGATTGGTTGTGAAATTCTTCAACATTTCAGTAGCATGGTGATGGGGGTGGTAATGCAGTGGGAATCAGAAGATCTGGGTCCTAACTAGATGATACTAAGCAAGCCATTTCTTTGTTCTGAGCCTCAGTTTCCCCTTTGTAAAACAAAGTTGGATGAGATGACCATTAAGATCCCCAATATCTCTCTTGTTCTAAGGTTTTCCCTCTCTTAACCATTTTCATATTTGGGACCTATGTTAGGAGATGAGAGGGAGGAAGAGAAGAGCCAAATGCAAAGCCATCTGGTTTCTGATCTGTAGCTGTGGCTGGGAGGCTTGGAATCTCTATGCTCTGTTTCATCCTCTGCTAGCAAGGACATAGGGAGCCCCTCCTCTTTCTCGGCAATGTATGCCTCCTCAGGCACATACTTGAATGTTTTCCTCGTTGCCTCTTTAGGATATCAAATAAGGCTCATCTTACAACTTGCGACAAGACAGAAGTGGTGTCATATGCATGGGCAGTTCAGACTATTCATGCTTCTTGGATAATTGTTCCTAAGTCAGAAACTATTGTGAATCATCAAGTTCAAACAAGTCTGGCATTTGCTTAAAGCACACTCCAATTATTGTATGAAAGTCTGTATTGGTAAGATCAAAGCTCCAAGCTTTATAACCAGGTATACAAATGGATTGCAGCAGAACTTCTGTAAGTAATGCACATCTCAACTCTGTGTATTTGAAGTCTTGGTTTACCGAAGTGGGCATTCATTACTTTAAGAATGTGCACAGGCATACAGCATACAGCAGACACACTTGTGTGACCCCCGAAGAGTCCTGGTAGCTTTCTGGTCAATGTAGCCAATACCCTCTCCATGGTCCTGATCACGCGTGGCCCCTTTGCTGCACTTGGCACTTCTGACGCCACCTCCTCTTGGAAGCACCCTCCTTCCTGCCCTTCTGGGGTGAACTCATTTTCTCATTTCTTTCTTACCATTTCTCCATTTATCACGGAGTCTTTTTCCTTCTCCTGATATCTGATTGGGAAATACTCCAGAGTTTAGTCCTCAGCTCCTTGGTGCTCTTCTCTTGTTGCTCTCTTCTCCCTTAGCCCAGTTCTCTAACTCTCTCACTTGTACGAAGATTTATCTGTATCATCATCCCTGCCATAAATTCTAGTCTTTCCTAGACTGTTGCACTAGTCTCTTTGCTGAACTCTTTGCCTCCAAACTTTCCTTCATTGTTCTAAAAACAGATAAACATTTGCTAAAACGTTTCCTAAAATGCCTTTTGTCACACCACACTCAGGTTCAGAAGCTTAAACTGGCTCTACAGCTCCCAGGGAAGTCCAAGCTGCTGCACTTCACCATTGAGTCCCCTACCCTAGGGTCCCCATACAATCCCCTATAAAGCTTTAATTTCCACCACTTCCCTTCATAACCCTCCTCTTCCTGCTGCCTAGACTTACTCTCATTCTTCAAACATGCCTTGGGCTTTCCCGCCCCATTCCCATGTGCACATTATTCTCCTTACCTGCAGTTCCTACTTTTCTCCCCTCTGCTTCTTAGAAGACTCCTCATCACAGCACAAATCCATTCCTGAGAGCCTCCAATCCCAGAGGTGCTTGTCCTTCCCAGTGTGTGAACCACCTACTTGTCACTTGTCAACTCTTGCCTCAGATTACTATTTCCCATTCATCCCTTCATCCCTCTACACACACCCATTCAACAGTGCGTACTCAGTGCCTAGAGCTGGGGATTCAAAGACAAATTAGATCCTGCCCTTGCCTTCAGGGAACTCAAATATATACAGAGAGACAAGCACGTAAGTCATGACAATGTCATGATCAAGGTAAGAACAGAGGTTGGAGAGGAGCTAAAGATGACCGGTCTGAAGAAGGGAAGGAAGTAAGCCGTTTATATTTAACCACATGTTGCGATGAAAAGGAGAGAGATCTGTGTTAGAATCCTGGCTTCACAACTTATTATCCCCTACCCTCTATGCCTTGGTTTGCACATCTATAAAATGGGAAACATACAGTTTAGCCTGAAGAGTTGTGGTGAGGAGTCATGGACATCTTAATTGTGTGTGTTTGAAGATCATGTCTGTAGAAAGGGTCTAGCTTGTAAAGTGTCCAGCACTGCCTTGGGCTTGTGCAGGTTCTTAACAAGTAAGAGCTTCTTCTATCCATAGCATTGGCCCTATCTCCAACCCCTCCTAGTGTCTACTACACCACCCTGGATGAAATTGTCCTAGGGGATATCTACTATTTGGTTGATCGACGGCATCATGGTTATGAAAAAGGCCCATCATATCAGGAAACGTGGCCATCAGGAACTGTCCCAGAAAGGATCTGTTCCTCATTCTGAGAACCATGAATTTGGAATTTGGCATTTGGAAATGTGACTTAGCAAAAGACACATGGGCAAGAGCTATGCTTTTCTATTTCATCAAGGAGGGCCAGAGGCTTGCCAAGGAGTTGGGGGCCTCAAGCCAGGAAGCAGAACAGCAATACTGTCTCTTGACCTGCTGCACCCCACTGATGAAGGCCAGGGCTTTCATGAGTTCAGGTCTTTGAAGTCATACCACGAAGCTCTTACGTTATGACGCACAGCATGGAAGAGGAGTCCTGACTTAGTGAGAAGCCCAAGTAAAGTCTTTTATGAGAGGAGAGACTCTTCTGAATAAACATAACAAATGGAGGGAAGAGCTTCTGACAATCACCAAATAAGCCAAAGAAAAAAAAGGGGGGGGTTTGCCTTACACATCCACACCCTCCACAGACAAGGTATAAATGCTCTCCAGAGGAAGGAGACCCACTGCTCTGCAGCTTGGAGATTTTGGACTCTGTCTTCAGCTGGGCACTCCCTCCCTCCCTCCTTGCACCATGCCCTACAACTGCTGCCTGCCCAGCCTGAGCTGCCGCACCAGCTGCTCCTCCCGGCCCTGCGTGCCCCCCAGCTGCCACGGCTGCACCCTGCCCGGGGCCTGCAACATCCCCGCCAACGTGAGCAACTGCAACTGGTTCTGTGAGGGCTCCTTCAATGGCAGCGAGAAGGAGACCATGCAGTTCCTGAACGACCGCCTGGCCAGCTACCTGGAGAAGGTGCGTCAGCTGGAGCGGGAGAACGCGGAGCTGGAGCGCCTCATCCGGGAGCGGTCCCAGCAGCAGGAGCCCTTGCTGTG